TAAGATTATAATTATTCTTTTTTACTTTTAACTTATTTCAAATTGGATATTTGTATTTTATAATAATTTACTTCAGTTTCTTTTTTATATTTAATAATTAATTTGATCTCGTTTATTTTATACGATTTTTTTATTTTATTTTTATAATTTTAGGTTACCTACTTTTCATTTTATTTTAACTTAAATTTTTATTTTTTTAAGTTTATTTTATTGTATTTCATTTTGGTTTTTTAATTTATTTTGGTTTTTTATTTTATATTTATTTTTTAATTTTATATTTATTGTTTTAGAATATTATTATATTTAATTAATTAATATATTTTATTTTAATTTTACCATTTCTTATATTTTTAATTAACTTACGCATTCTATTCGACTTAAGTTTTATATTTATATTATTATTTTTATATTTTTAATTAATTTGTATTATTTTTTGTTTTTAAATTTTTCTTAATATTTTGGTATTTTTTATTTTTTTCTTAGTTTTACGTATTTTATTTAATTTCATTGTATTTATTCATTCTTTTAATTTAATTTAATTAATTTTTTTTGTATGTTGTCTTCGACCATTTATTTATTTAATTATAATTTTTTCATTTTATTTTAGACCCTATATTTATTTAATTAAAATTTATTCTGGCATATTAATATAATTTTTTACTTCAATTTTCGTTTTACTCAGTTTGTGTCTTGCGATAACAGATCGAATAGAAGATACGTCGCCATATTTAATTTGTTAAATATTAAAAAAAAAAGTCTGATCCAAAATAGGGGTGTGATTTCCTTAAAATTGAGTCAATATTTTTATGCACATAATTTCATAAGAACAGTTATTTAGTGTATTAATGTAGTTGTATTTAGTGGGTTACAAATAAATATTTTTATATTATTTTATTTTATTTCTTTTTTTTATTTTATTCTATATTTTATTTTTTGAATTTTTTGTTTTTATTTGATTTTCTTTTTTATATTACATCATCCCATTTTATTTTTATATGTTTCTTATTCAATTTTATTTTTTGTTCATTTTTATTTTATTTTAACTTATTTTTAATTTTTTATTATTTTATTTTATTATTTTTAATTTTTTTTTTAATTTTATATATATATCAAAGTTTTTTTTATTATGGTTTATTTTAATTAATGTTGTGTTATTTTATTTTATTTTTTTAATTTAATTTATTTTTTTAATTTAATTTTGTTTAATTTCGTTTAGTTTATTTTTTATTTGATTTGATTTTATTTTGGTTTTTATTCTGAAAGCGTTCCCTTAATATAAACAAAAGCTTCACATACAAACGTTAATTGTATATATTTATTTATTTAGTTTTTTTTTTAATCCACACAACTCAATTAATTTTATGTCGCTCACATTTTGTTAATTTACTTAAAATCAACTTTTTTTTGGAGGTTTTTTCTGTTATGTCTTCAACACCAGCAGCCCAGAATGCGCCGCGCGGTTATGTTTTTTAATCAAATGTGTGGTTCATGTTTAGCATAACAATTGTTTTGGTCAAAAGCGCTACAGGTAGTGAGGGTGTCGCTGCCAGCAGCAGCTACGCTTATTGTGGTCTCACACAACATAATTCACACATTTGTTATAAACGAATAAATTGTTTTACTGGTGTGAGAATATGCAAACATATCAACTTTGTGATACACCGAGAGAATAATGATGAAAGAGAAAGAAGTGCTTAAGTTAACGTTGACGGTTTGAGATCTAAGTCTCATGTGCTGATATTTTATCTAGGAGTCTTCCGATCATTTTAAGTCTTTAGTGTTCTTTTGAATTCTATGCAGAAACGAATATTTAAAGCAACTTCATTTAGGAAGCATCTCACAAACTTCTTATCTTAATGAGCTTCTTTCAGGCTAAGTTTTCACTTAGCTTTTTTTTATTAGACATAAATTAATTTATTTATCTCATACGACAATATGCGCCTGTCTAAATAATAGCAATTACTACGCTCATCAGGCAGCCTTTAGATAGGTATGAAATCAGTACAGAGTCATTTTCACCCAACTCAGGTGTCATTTTTAAGATTAACTTAACACAGCTCAGTCACATAGGCTTCCAATTTATTTTGAGATTTTTTTTTTAATAATTTATCAAGTTATTTGTATGCCAAAGATTACACCGATTTTATTATCACTGAACAAGTACTTAAAACCGCAACAAAAACGTTTTTAAAATCATTTATTTTATGAAATAAATTTAAAGTGACATAAAAAAATTAAGAGCCTAAGCTTAGGCTTTTTATGGTCACAATGGTAGTGCAGACAATATACATACAATAAAAATTCAAATAACCGACTCACTCATGCATGCAGGTGTAGAATTGACGGTGTTTTATTAAAGGGTTAATTAGAAAATACGTGCGCTAACTACGCAACTGTCATTTAAAGAAACGAGGTAGGCAATAATGGTTAGTTTTCCAAACTTCTCTTTAACTTGCTTTTATAGTGAGTAGGTTTTCTGAGCACATGCCATATAAAACTTTTTTTTTAAAGAACCATTACTGTGTACACCTGTTTGGCTCGAAATGCTATCAGTTTCTAGTTGTCCACCAAAGCGGATTATGGCTTTTCAGACAAAATTCATTGAATTTACTGAGTATGTGATCAATAATGACATTATATTCTGACGTATTTGGTTTCAGGCGCTTCTCTATATGTATTTAATTCTAGCATAGCACACTAACCCATTTGCGTATTTGAGTTATTATGTGCTAGATGTCAATTGTGTCAAAAAAAAAGTCCAGCGAGTTTGGTTTAATGCATTCAATAAAAGTTCTTGACTTCATACAATTTAATGAATGAACGAATGAATGTGTGCTATTGCTATGTATTTGTAATTTAATAACTATTTTTTATTATTTCCGCTCTTTTGTTCTATTGTTGATTTCTTTTTCTAATTTTATGACATCCTAAATGCTTCTAATGACTTCCCAATTTGTTGTGCTGCACTTTCTTAATTTTCTATGGGTCGACCAAAAATGCAGTGAAAGTATGTGGAAGTAGAATAAATGTAATGTTTTAGCTTTTTACTAATTCACTGCATTTTACTTAATTTATTTTTTAATTCAATTTAATTTAATTTAATTTAATTTTATTTTATTTTATTTTATTATTTTATTTTATTTTATTTTATTTTATTTTATTTTATTTTATTTTATTTTATTTTATTTTATTTTATTTTATTTTGTTTTATTTTATTTTATTTTATTGTTATTTGAATTTTTTATTAATTTTTTGTTTAGATTCATTTTGCTTTGATTTAAGTTATATTTATTTACTCAAATTGATTTTAAATTGTATATATTTTATTGCATATTATTCTATTTTACCTATATTTTTAAATTAATTTTATTTATTTAACTTTGCATTTTATATGTAATTTGCTTGTAAAATAATAACATTAATATACAGTGTTCTATTAGGAAGTTCTAAAACCTACTTTTCAATATTTAAAATATACATCGTTTTCCATTTAAATAAAATTCCATTGTTATCATTTATCAATTTCATTTATTGGCATTAGAAATATTTATAATAATTTTAGAAATTCAAGGAATGTTTTTGCTTAGCTCGTTAAAATTAAAACAGAAAAGATAAGAATAATACACATGAAATAAATATAGCTTCTTAAATATTGTTTTTTTGCTATAATTAAAATTTTTAATTCGAAAAAAAAATCAATTACTTATATACAGACATATAAAGCAGCAGAAGTTATGCGTAATACAATTGTTGAATAATTGAAAATCACGTAAATAAAGTGTTAATTAGTAATAATATTGATGTTTTAATTTTTTATGTAATATCTTCAGTTGTTGTTTTTTATATATTATTTACTACTATGTATAATGTGTTTTTTTTTTGTGTATATGCGTATTTGTATAATTTACAGCAATAATACAATGATAATAGCATAACTTAGAAGCTAATTTTTCGTAAAATAAATACAATTACTATATTCATTTGCTTAATGCAACACCCAATGGCATTGCATATACAGTGCATATTTCCCTATACATCAATTGCTCATACATAAAATGCATATCTATGCATGTTTGTGTGATTATTATTTTTTATTTAATTTTTAGCCTATCCAAACCGTCTTTAAAAAGCAATTTTGAAATTATTTATGTACTTTGTTGTTTATTTTATAGAGTTTTTTATCTGTTTTATTTTATTTGGTTTTTTTATATGTTATTTAATTTTTATTATTAGTTTTTGTTTATTTTATAAACATTATTTTTTTCATTTCTTTATTGGATTTTATTGCATTTCATTTTATTTTCTCTTTATTGATTTAGGTTAATTATAATACTTTTGATTTAATTTATTTTCCTCGATTTTCGCTGATTTTAATTTAGTTTATTTTATTTGTTATTAAATTTTTTTCTCTTCCTTTTCTAGTCACTTATTTTAAGTTTACTTTAATTAATTTTTTATTTTATTTGATATTACTTATTTAATTTTTTGATATTATTTTTTGTTTACTATTATTTTATATAACTTTATTTATATGTTCAGCTTTTTTCATTTAGGTATAATTTTTGTATAAGTTTAAGTTTATTTATTTTATTTGGTTCCACTTTATTTTACTTTGTTTTTAATTAATTTAAATTCATTTTTTTATTTCTTTTAAATTAATTAGATTTTATTTTGCTTCAAATTAATATATTTTTGATGTCGTTTTTATGTTTAACATTATTTTATATAATTTAAATTAGATGGTTATATTTTATTTAACTTCAATTTATATTTTATTTTATTGCATTTTGTTTTATTGTATATTTTATTTATTCATTTATTTTTATTTTATTCTTTCTTATCTTTTCTTTATAATAATTTATTTTATTATATTTATGTTTTAATTTATTTTACTGTTTATTTTCATTGGTATGTTTTTCAATTTTGTTTCTTATTTTGTTTTCTTTTCAAAATCATATTTATTCTATTTCGCTTATTATTTTTATTTTCTCCTTTTTTAGCTCACATTTATACAAATATACTTGCATTGCCTTTCGCTGCACTGACGCTACACAATTTGCAGACGGTTAAAACAGGTACAACAACAACTAAACACTAAATGCTAAAATCTATGCTTAATACAAATGTATGCCCCTTAAAATGTGATTTTATCTATTATTTTTGTTTAATTTTTCGCCTCCACATTTTGGTGATTTTTTCTCATTTCTCGCTTTAGCTTTTTCCCTCATTACTTATAATTATATATTTTTCATGCTAATTTTAAATATATTTTTATAATCTTTTTTTAACTCTCTTTACATTTTACTTATTGTTTTGCTTTTTCCTTAAATATTTTTACTTTTGATTTCTTTACACACCAAATAAAAATGAAAAGCTAACAAAAGCAAAACGAAAATGAAAATTGTGAATAAAAAAACGGACTTTAAATTTCAAGACAAGCTTAGAAGAGCGTAATAAAAGTGGGGTACAAGCAAATGAAACGAGAAAAGTAAAAAGAAAGGAAGAAATAACGCCTACGCCTACGTCAACAACCGACGCAGGCCGATCGCACGTCTATGCCTACATACATATATAATAAATCACTTAAGCCTACAACGACGTCACACTCCAATAACTTCACGCTATACCAAATCAGCTGCCTTCAAGCCGATAACTGCCAGCCAGCCTCTATTGCCAATTGTGAGCCAATCTAAATGTTGTGCAGTGCTCGCATACCGCAAAGCGTCACCACACACAACGCTGTGATGAGCGCGTACCATTGTTGTTGCAAACGCTGAGCGTCACCTGTCACCGCTACACCGGCTAACGCAGGCTTCTGTTGCTCTGCAGCCAAATTTTCGGGCACATCGCTGGGTATTTCATTGCTCATTGGTGAATCATGTAGAGATTTCTCTAAAGAATCTGGACCCGAATGGGTTTCGCCAATATTCTTGACCTGAACTACGGGCGGTTCATGCATAGGCACCGGCTCGCGACTGGTGGTTGTTGGATTTGTTGTAGTGGAAGTGGATGTGGTTGATGTGGTGGTCGTGGTGGGTACCATCGTACCGTTTTCAATCCAGTAAACGGGACTGAACTCGAGTTTGACGTCCTTCAAGTAGCTTTTGCGCACCTAAAAGCATATTAAATTAGTGGGAAGCTCGAAAGAAGTTTACTAAGTGGTTTGACTTAGATAACGGGCGAAAGTGAGATAGAGAGAGAGTGTACTACAAACCTCTTAAGATCTCTCTTCAACACTCAACTCAAACTTTCACCTATCATCACAACTCACCTCTGCTGTGATCTTCCTTGACACACTGTCATCAATTCCATAATAGAAGGCATAAAGTTTGGCGGTATAGGGCGCTTCCAGTATTACGTAGTTACCCTTGAGTGTGACGTTGAGAGCTGTACCAGGCCAGAGTTTTGTATGTACTGATTTAGTTTCCGATCTCTTTTCGGAATATTTCAAACCCCATTTGACTTCGATGGGTGTCTTCACATCTTTCTCATAAACTTTAGTAGGTAGACCACGTGCAACGCCCTCATGTGAACCCCAATATTGTATGTGATCAAATTCATAGGTCATAACGGACTCGACGAGTATGTACATGTCGCCGCGGTTGGCGAGCACGCTGGAGGCTGAAAATGAACAGAGAGAGAGGAAGATTATTAGTTTGAGTTTATAAAGTAGACATTTTAGAAGAAATCTGGAAAGTTATATGAGATTAGAATTTCGAGTGAAGATCGCACAAACTTCGTGGAGTGAAGTAGAAATTTGCGGTCAACAAAATCCCACATACCAAGCGTTAAGGCTCCTATCAGATCTCTAGAAACTTTGGTAATCAATTTATTGGAATGCTTGAATAAGAACTTCTTTCAATTGGAGCTTTTTTGAAGGCTTTTATTTTCTAATCGGAAAACTGCTTGAGTTTTAGCTTTAAATGACGTTCAAGCCTTCCAACAACTGGCAACTAAGCTCAGCAAACACTTGTTATTCTTTTATCTATATTTAAAAGCGGTTTCTTATCTGGGATTTTCAAGGTCCCACTCAATTCCATTTGCCAAAGCCTAGCTCTGAACGGTTTTGATACTGACTGAGCAAGAAGCGGCGGCTATTCAGGCTTCTCACATACGAACGCTTCTAAAAATATAATCCTCATCATTTTCCCCCTTTCGGCCCGGCGAAAGACTGAAAGCTATTTTCAAGGGGACTATTCATACGAGCTTTAATAAAAGGACTTTAAAAGAGGGATTTTGAGATATATTTAGTAAAATTGGGCTCTGGCATAGGTCAACCAAGGTGTTGTGCCTATAATTTTAACGTTTGCTAAGTGAGAGCTTCGTTTTTTCAGAAACCATAGTGAAAGAGTGAAATTCCTCTACTATACGTATCATATAATCAGCCAGGCCTGGAGAGTCGATTGTCAGTCCACATCGGTGACAATATTTCTAAACATAATGTACCGAATCTTATTTGAGATCACGCGCATAAAACTAGTATATTTTCCCCCTGTCTGGTCTCCGAAAAGAATTTAAACTTCCATTCTACTTGCTACACTCGATTCTTGATACAACAATGCCAAGCGTACTCTTTCACTTAAACAGGAGTTAAAGAAAAAACTACCATCTGCCCAACTTACCCAAATCCGTAATATTCTCGCGCATATCCAAACGAATGCTATCCAACTTGATGTCCTTCAGCTCGTAACGGAACGGTTCAGTCTCCACCAACACTTCACCCTCATCATAATCCTTGTCGCGTTCATTCTCAATCACCTTGATTTTACCCAAACCCAATGGATCTAAGCGACCCAAATTATAATCCGCCCCCCAATGTTCGGTGCCGCTCTCACCACTAGGTGGCGCCTTATGACGTCCAATATAATCATCTTCACCAATGCGTATAGCGCCAATGGGTACGCCTGCATTGAATTTACGCCAATGTTTCCACATAATCTTGCCCAGATGTCCCTTATTGACCAACACATCGAACTGTTCATATTTGCCATGTTTATAGTGAGCTGCCACACAGACATGCGACTGTGTTATCTTCTCCGTATGACCGCTGGTGGTGATACCCTCAATGGTCACACGACACACATAGATCGGATAGTGCTCGTCCTCCGTGATGTATTTACCACCCTCGACCGCATATTGTAATTGCTTGGGATCCTTGGGGTCGTAGGTCTCCCACACCAGAGTGCTGGAGGTGACCAATTGGCCGAGTTGTGTTGAGGCGTTAGTATATGTGAGCACCGGATGTACGGAGGCGTTGGTCGGTGCAATGACATGTACCAAAAGCATTGTCGCTGCCAGCAAAAGGATACTGGCAGTGTGGGTGTTGGTGGTGTTGAGTCTGCAGCGTTGCATTTTGTGTTGTCTACTACTACTACTGTTGCTACTGCTGCTGTTGGTTGTTAACATTTTCAAGTATTCTCCTCGGTGTCTCTGTGTGTGTGAGTCTGTTGTAAGTTTACTCAAGTTGTTGAGCGGAAGTTGATAGGACAAATGCAATTTAATTTACTTTACTTTGGTAAAGTTGTGATTGTTGTTGTTGTTGTTTTTTATTGTTGCCACTAGTATTTATATGCTACGCTTTTGATTGATTGTTTGATTGTTGAAAGCTGCAAAGAGAAGATGAAAGGGAAGTAGAGTTAGAAAGGACATGCAAAACTGAGGACTGAGGGCTGAGGGCTAAAATTACACATGCGTTGCATATGTGTGCGTGAGTGGTCACTTAATGGCAACCATAGAAGTGTTTTTGGTTACCGTTAATGTTAATTGATTTTGCTTTTAACACTTTCTTCTAATTGATTTTCCTTTACGTCATTAATTCGGACATCGATACATTTAAGTAATTACACACACGCCCCTTTGTCGATTTCCATTAGAGCGCTGATATGTTTGCCACAGAATTTAATTAAATAGTTGGGTGGGGAGCTCGAATTTACATAGGAGCCCCGTAAAACAAGCAGTAGCGAGCTTGAAAGTTCACTGAATCCAAGAAAACACGCTTCGGTAGGCTATTTCTGGTATCGCATTCCAAAAAGTTTATTTTTTCTAGCATCTAACCCGATTAATGTGCCAGAGTCCAGCTGAGAACTCCTGAAGTATCGTGACTCCAGGTCTTTAGTGAGTCTTATGTTAAAGCATTTAGTATTATTAGCTCTGTATCTGGAGAAAGACATTAGAGTCTCGAACAAGGTGGTTTTTAAGTTATCCTTGCGTTTTTAACGCTGCCTCGTTCATAGAACTCACGGTACAACCCCAGTTCCGGCATCAAAATCACAAGTAGTCAAGGACTAGTTTCGATATTAGACTAAGACCCCGAATATTTTGGATCTTCAGTTCTTTTATAGGCTAGGTTAGGTTGAAATGGTTGTCAATGAAGAGAATTCGATTTAATTTAGGCCAACTCAAATTCCTTGTGATATCACAATATCCTCACCATCAGGCTATGCAGAACTTCCATTTCTCATTTCATTTCTACAACTGCTTTGAAGTCAGTTATCTCGGATAGATTATTCGTAAAAGTAGATCTGAAATTTGGAAACCTAACACTAACCAAAACATATTCTAACTGCTGTTATAAAGGATTCTCTGTCTTTCTACGTATTTCCCGATCAGAGAGTGGGCTATCAGGATATATACGTTGAAGACGTCCTATCTTTATAATCGTGTGATCCTTCCTATCTCAATTCTATCTAGGGCACGTTGTTGTGTGATTCCATATCCATATCGTTACTTGTTGAGGGTAAATTGCTACAAGAGTAGTTTGCACGTGGTTAAATACCTACTAATACGTTCTTTATCAGGATGTATCTGGTTGTTCATGCCATTCCTAACAAGTTCATCCGCCTCGTTATTAACAGGGATTCAGATGTGAGATGCTCTGCTCTGTTTGCCTAGAAGAGATCGGTGCAATCTAGCTCAATTTGTGATCTTAAGGTAAATGCTACCACTGCTGCCTAACTGTCTTTGAAGACTAAGTTATTATCATTCTTGAAGTTTTATTCAACTTGCTCGACTGTTTCTAAAAACACTCAAATGAACCGATAACCTGAATGAGTGTTCCATGGCAGGGTTTCGTGTGAAGACAAAACTTTTGACACTTTGCTGAGAGTTCGATACTTTCGTATTTATTTTCACCTGCCCAGTGAGTATGTCGTAGTTTAAGGTCCATTTGATAGCGTCTCCATGGCCAGTGGGGTACCTCCAGTATACTAACTGTGCTTAGAAATTTCTTTTAAATGGTAGGTAGAAAAAAATTTTGAGTTCGTAGCTTCGGCTCTGGGGGAGAAAGCTCCGGGTATTCCGATTTCGGTGTTGGAGTTCGGCGAAGAAAGTGACCGCAATTAAAGCATTAATTACAAGACATAAAGAGAATAACCCTCTAGTATTTCTAATTGGTTACCCATGTCTGACATAAAAAGTTTCACTTAACGTGTAACAAAGTATTTTTTCGGGTTAAGAGCTTCCGTTTTAGATGATGAGTTATGTGGCAGATCGAAGTAGAGGCAAAAGATTTTAAATTGAGAGTCAATGGTTTAGAATTATTTCTCGGTTTGCGTGGCACGAAACTGAATTATTCTTAGAGTAACGAGAGACCTAACTGCACGAAACAGAAGCAGGAACCAAAAGTCTTCAAAAGGTATGCGATTTTGTCTAAGAAACGTTCGGAGAGTAATTCAAACACGTTCGTTCTGCATATCGAAATACTGCGAGCCTTTTAAGTTAAATTTTCCAATTACCATCGCCTTTCGGAGGGAATGTCAGCTCCTTCGGGTCTACTTCAGACATGAAACAAAACTCTTCTTCATAAAAGTTCCTCAGCCGGTCGAAGATGGCTCATTGTAAATTGTAGGTACAAAACTTATTTTTTCACTGCAACCGGACGTACAGATGGTGAGAGGAGAATACTAAATCAGGAAAGGTTTTATGAACTCAAGTGACCACTCTACAGAAATCAAGCACAATACTTCAGAACGCTTGCATCACATCCTCTCCGCATTCGAAAATGCCTTCCAAAACTTGGTCACTTCATTGGACATCCGGATGTTATCCGGAGTAATGGAAACGAACCCATACAACACCAAGTGGGAGCCCAGCTCCAACTTTCAATTTCAGCCGTACATAGTCACCGTTTTTTCATCTTTTTACGGAAATTGCTTAAATTTCTAACAAACGAATATTTACTCAAAAAAAATAACATTTTTTTCACCAAACTACATAATGAAAAAACAATTTTTCGACTTCCTACCAAGCAACTGCTCAAATTCTCCAAACTCTATGGTATGCTTCAACCTTGTAAATATGCATTATGATTTTCCAAGAGATTATTATCTGTGCGGCATGCATGAAGAGCACTTAATCTCATTATTTTCGGCAAAAAGGAGTAGTGAGAAATCTATGGAAAATATAATTGTGTGCAGTGTTGCATTGTAATTTTTCTTCCTCCTCTTCTTACTCTCCGGCTACTCCGTTTTTGGTCCATATTTATTCACTTTTACTGATTCAAAGTATGAATATATGAATCCTTCCGGCTGAGAGAGGAAGAGTATGAATCAGAGGACTCATTGTTAGGCGACATAAGGCCACATTTGTTGGTGGCATGGGCATTTGATGACAAATTATATTCACTACGAAAGGCAAATAGCACAAGAAAAGGATCAAATGTATGAATGGCCACGTATTCACACTCTTACCCACATAACGCACACAAAAGTATTGCCATATGAAATTGCTCTGCATTGTTATATCCTTTTATCAACTTTATACTCTCAGAGTATGCACATATACATAACCGTAATTTTCGAAAGAGATACATTTAATATGACAAATATGCTGAAGGTCCATTTTTATGGGATATTCCTGTGTCTGTGTGCGTGCTTGCATTGTCCTGTGCTAATAAACTTACGTGCTTAGATGAGCTTTTGGTCAACTACTCAAACTGCTTCAACGAACTCACAATCGATAGAAATAAGTGTTTATAAAGCTATTTTTATAACAACGAGTGAATTTAGCTAACTACAAGGTATGTCCCATGGAAAACGAGACTTTTTATATTTTTAATTTTTCTTTTTTCCTTTTTTCCCTTTTTTCGACGCAGCTATATATATCACAAATATATATATTCAATTTAACTTACTCTATTGTGTAAACATATACTTTGTTTCTAGCCAAATCAGTTGATGAGAATAAGTACTTAATGGTGAAATAAAGAACACAATTTCTTTTTACAAGTTATGTCCGGTAAAACATAGAAAAAATCGGCATTTTGTCTTTTTAAAAGTACTCCTTTCAAATTGGCAGAAAATGCAAAGTCTCGTTTTCCATGGGACTGTGTATTTAAGTTGGCATGTGCATCTTATGCATTGAAATTTGTTACTACTCAACATTATTTTATCTACGCCAGCAAAATATACTACTTTTGTATAGTCTCCTTTTCTGTGGGACAAATGTTATGCTTTTACAAATTGGTATACGTTGAAATTTTTACATTGTTTGTATACTTTCAATAAATTATTACGCACATAACAAAATCTATAAATATGTACATATCTATGTTTGTATATGGATATACATATGCATGTGTTTATGTAATTTCTATAGTTAGTCAGGTGTCCTTTTGTATACATAAAACCTTCGGTCATTGTCGCCTTCTCTGTGACGCATTAGTCAATCAAGTTCATAGCCTACGCCACCATTACCGCCATTGATCATTAGTTGCGCCAATGTCAGGCAAATCCCTAGGAAAGTGTTGTGAGATGAGCTTACACCGTTAGATACATAATATTATATATTTCAAGTAATACACACACATACTTAATTTTGTTTAATAGTCTACATAAAATAACAGTTTTAATGTTTGTTCCCCACTATCCTTAGATAAATATGTGTTGAGGTTATAATATATGTATGCCGGTGTGTTATCAGTTATTCATTCGCTGTAAGTGCTGGAGAGTTTTTGATAGACTTCAATAATAAAGTGTAGCTGGCTGATGCTTATAGGCGATTTTGAGGTTAGGTTACTAATAATATTAATGAAAATGGAAACTTCAGTGTCCTATGTATAAATCAGCACAAAAAGCGGGTCTTTGTGAAATTTTTTTTTTTTTTGAGGTTAGTTTTGAGCGGGAGACATCGTCTCAGCATAAAGCGGACTCTTTCAGGAATTTTCATCTAAAATGTCAGCATAAATATGTGGAAAGCATTTCAAATCTCTACATTTATCAGTTTGTTCTTTATGGCATTTTTCGACATTTTTTAGGTTAATTTTCTATGAGAGCTATGCTGTAGAAAAACCCCATAATAGTGGCATCAAAATAACATGACAAAAGTTTCAGAGTTCTACATTGCTTTCTGCGCCTTTTTAAACTGTTTTGAAGTTTTTGAGGTTAGATTCCTATGGGAAAATCGCTTTAAAATTAACTTTTGGAATTTATCTTCACAGGGTTGTGCTACAATAACATAACGATCACACGATGTAAGTTTCAGAGTTCTACATTGATTTGTGCGCCCTTAATTAGCCTTTTTGATGTTTTTAAGATTCGATTCCTATGGGAGACATGGCTCCAAATTAATCAATCAAGAGTATATACGGAATGTTTTCTTATGGAAGCAG